CCGAAACGTATGTAGTGCTTAAAATTTTAACAAAATTAAAAATACTAGACTGAAAAAAACCAAGAAACTTTTTATTTATATATTATTGTTTCATTAATGTATGCGTCCTTTTTTTAATCGCGTCCAAATGTCAACATCCAATTGTCATGCCTCCAAATATCTACGTCCTTTTGAAGTAATAATAATAAATAATGATAATCATCTTTATTTCAGAAAATGCTAACTTTATTTACCTATAGAAGAAAAATATACCAACATGTAAAAATGCAGAGATTCTAATAAATTACAGACTCACAATTAAAACTGGTTATTTATAAAATTATTAACACTATAGGGTTCTAAGTTTAACAGTAATTTTTAAGCTATTGCATAGCTTTTATCGCGGGCTTTGAGCGCGGCGACCGAATCAAGAAATTTCCGTAACGACCGTAACGAAAATAAACCTAACACCCCCCACTCCGACCGGCACAGCGGTGCAGCGTTGAAAGCCGTGGAATGTTTTATCCGAATCCGACCCTATTCGTATTAGTATGAAGCGGAGTTAAATAGACGTCTGCGGACTGGAACGTTTATACAATACAATACTACAGTCTTTCTCTACGCTCCCATTGGCTATTGGTCACGTGTCTTTTTACAGCTGTATATTTTAAATTCATATTTCAGAGTATAATAAAAAAATGCATTTATTTAGATGACTTATGTTTAAACTTTTAATTTCTCAAGATTAAAAATTAATACAATTGAATCGTTCATTTCAAAAACCACATAAGTCAAAATAGTTAATTTTTCAGTAGAGCGAAAAAACTGTTTTGCACAAAAAGTATCTTTATAAAGTGAAAAAACGTATTTTTTTTTAATATAAACTACATGACTATAACTAATGTTGATGAAATTACTATAAACATATGAATGGTTTTTTCATAAAAAAAAAAAATTATAAAATGACTTGTGTGGTTTTTACACGGAATTCTATTTTGAGGAATTAAATTTTAATTTTAAAAATAAATAAACAGAAAAATATTAAGATAAATGGTTTATTTGAGTTTTTTTTAAATATAATACGTCAGTTAAATAATTAAAAATAAAAAGATTATGGAACATAATCAAATTCTTCGTCGTTTTCGACATCTGGACCGTCATTTTCCTCTCCAGTTGGCCAGTTGAAAATTCCTTCATAAAATGGAATATGTTCTTGGATGACACTATTTTTCACTCGTTTGATATTTTCTATCTTTTTGGGATTTATGGGAACACTGCCGGCTGGATATGCATTTTCTGTGGGTAGTAAGATGGCACTTGCTTTGTTTCTGGTCAAGTCAAATGTATGTCTACGTAAACCATCTATAAACTCATGAACAACCACTACTCCTTTTCTATTTTTATCATACTGGAATGCCATGTAACAAGATAGTGAGAATGACTGTTTCAGTTCTTTTGGAATGTGCTTACCAAAGCTCTCATCTGACAAACATACTTTTTTATAAAATTTTGGCCACCATTTAGCAAAATCTAAAATTTGTTCTGTTGACAACATAAAGACTTTAAAATTGGGGCTTGCTTCTGACATAATCTTATAGTACTCATTAGGAACATATATACGGTCACACTTTTTAATCTTTTTTTTCACAACTCCGAAGTCTCGATCGTTGGGAAGAAAAGAATGTCCTCTTATAGGGAAATAATGCGTTACTTTCGAAAATCGGCCTGTGTCTGTCAATGATAGTAAAAATCGTATGACTGTATGATTTTTATTTTGGCCTGGACAGTTATCTGAGAAGAGTATTACTTCATTAATATTTTCTCCTAAAAAGTTGTCCATGTAATGTAGAAGCATTGAACAAACTTCGTTTGCTCCTTTGTTTGCTATGCCTTCATGATATACATAAAACACAGTCTCATTAGTCTTCAAATTTTTTATCCCAAAACAATTAACCCATAGCTGTCTCAGATAAAATATTTCTTGTATGGGTAGATGCGGCAAAGGTAAATTTTGCATGAAGTCAAAGGTCAAGCATGCAACGTCATCCTGACTAGTGCAAATTTGTTTTACTGCGGCGATTTTGTTATGAAATTTTTTTGCCCGCCTATTGTGAACTGCCTTTTCGGCTTCAAATGCTTTCTTTGCGTTAAAGCCTAACGTAGGGCTTTTTATTTTTACCTCTAATTCTTCACATTCAATACATGTATCTATCTGGGGTCGTCCAAAACGTAGAGAAAATGTTGTTTTAAAATAGTTTGCATAAAAAGCATAGGTAACTTTCAATTCTGGAAATTTTTTTCTGAACATAGCATGCATTGTTTTGACATCTAGGCGGGCATCTAAATATTCAATTTCTTTGCCTGAATAGTGCGTTCGTTTTCGAGGAAAATCAAGAATGTGGTCATGAATAGCTTTTAAAACAGTAGGAGGTGTGGTGTTGACCTTTTGATGTTGGCCTCGTTTGTCGTGCGGTGTAATGGATTGTTGCAGTAAGGTACTAAGACGTCTAACTCGGTTTTCGGTGATGCCGTATATAGAAGTAAATGCTTTCTTACAGACAGTTTCCTTTTTGTTTTGAGTATGTACACAATATTTAAAATGATAAACCCTTGGTATTGCACCTTCTTTGCGAAATCGATGACATTTTACAGGATCTTTTTCAATCAGCTGTTGTAGATAGATGTCTTGTTCATTTTTATTTAAAAATCCATTTATTTTGTCAATACAAAAGTCTAGGTCTTCTCGAGTTAGTCGTTCAAAGCATGACATCTTACACCTAAAACAATGCAACATACGTACTATCAATAAGATGGACGGTTTATACCTCTGATAAATGAATAAAGGAAAATGATACATCTAAAACATTTTCCTTTATAATGATCGATATTAGTTGCAGAGAAAAACTTACATGCAGTCCGGTCCAGTAACACGAGCTGGTATAATATTTCCAGACCAGTTTATATGTTGGAGTCCTTTAACTTTTGACATTTTAATAACGTTCCTCTTATAAGTTTTAGAACGTCTTTGCCTTTTTTTTAAAGGTTCAGGTTCGCTACGTTCACTTGATGCTTCAGAATCAGACATATTTTCTACTGAAAACTACGCTTTATACGTCTAGAACAGTACAATGCACATACTAGAATGCCGGCGACTAGCAAATAATAATATGTAAACAAATGATCGCCATATTTGGTCCCCCACCACACCGCCCTAATAGTCCGCGTAAGAACAACGCTAGTCACAGACTTATGTGGTTTTTGCAGCGAATACTGAAATTGAGAGCGAAGTAGGCAATTAACGGGCTATGGGACTTGTGTGGTTTTTACACTGAAGATGTATTTACCCCCGTAGATGCGGTTCGTAGTAAAAACTCAAATTGGCAAAAAAATGACTTATGTGGTTTTTGAAATGAACGATTCAATTAAGTAATAATGATACCTTTATAGTTTTTAAATCATATATTTATGTGATTCCATTAAATTACAATGTAGGTATCATTTGACATGATAAAATTTTGTTTCCAATTTATTTTTGTTTAATTAAAAAGTAATAATTCGTAAATATTTGTAATCAAATGTTATATATTAGTATAAACGATTCCATGCTTATATCAAGATGTGCTCGGTGGCGCAGAGCGTACAGTGGTTAAAATTTGGATAGTTTGGATAGTTGGTGGTTCGAGTCCCGAAACTTTTAGTTTTTTTTTTTTTTTTTTTTTTTTTTTTTTTTTTTTTTTTTTTTTTTTTTTTTTAAGGGAAAATATTGTTTTATTTCACAGTCTTGGTAATTTAAAATGTTTAGTTTTTAAAAAGTATATACTTATTCAATGCATAGTGGCGCATAACGAGGTTCATTCAAGTTCAGCTAATTTTAAAAATGCAAGCTATCAGTGGAGACTTCGTTTATTTAAGTTCAAAAAAATAAACAAATAGGAAATATATTTTTTTTCAATAAGTACAACAATATTAACTTCTCATTTATTCAATAAAAAAAAAAATGTTTTCTTATCGGTCACCATGCTCAAAAAGTGCAACTTAAATTAATATCAAAGAAAAAAATACTGCACAAATAAAATAAATAATTATAATTAAAAAATTCTAATTTAGCTTTATCGCGGCAGTCCCCGAGTGCCATACGTATTTTTTAATTCTTTTTTGAACTTGTTAATACTTGTACAATTTTTAAGATCTAAAAGAACTTTGTTAAACAATTTTGTCATAATAAAATAAGGGGACCTCTCATTAGATGGATAATTCAGATTTAAATTCTTGTTTCGTAACGATAATTAACCTCACAGGAATCAAAAATGTCTCTATTTTTAAATAAGTAGGTACATCAGGCATTCAAATATGTAAACTGCATAAAATGTCATAATTTTATTTTCCTTAAATATTACATTATTTACATGAGTGTCTGAAATGCATTTTATTAATTATTCTAATCACTCTTTTTTGGATAATAAATATTTTTTCAGCAGTGAAATTAGAGTCCATATCTAAGAACAGATTCGAAACTAGCGATTTTTTTTTTAATATTTACTAGTTATTCTTATTCCATATGATATTTTACACAATTTAGAAGCTGTTTCTTCTATATGTTTCGACCAACGTAGGAATTAATTAATGTAAATACCCAAAAACTTTGCATCTGTACTTAGTTCCACAGATGCATCATCTAACTTTATAATACGTGGCTTTTCATTACCTAATAGATTATTAGAAAACAGTACAGCATTCGTTTTTGTTTCATTTAAATTAAGTTTGTTTTTTGTGAACCAAATTTTAACTTTACAGAATAGATCACTGCAGTTAATGAGTAGCTCAGGGAATGTATCTCCACCTGCCAGAATGTTAGTATCATCAGCATAAATAGTTATATATTGTGATATATTTAAATTAGATTTACATAGGGCCTTCATAAATATGACAAACATCGATACTCCTATTTACAAAGTAGCTGAACGGCATATATAAAAATGATTCTAGTTATGCAAGTATTACAATGTCTTTATATGTTTTAGCTTTGCAAAAGTCTGACCTTCTCCAGAGACTCCTTCGACCCAGGTCCAAGCACGTCGAGTCAACACAATCACCTTCAGAATCAGCACCGCCTTCAACAAACGCAATACCAACAACCATCTCTGATGAGCTGCCAACAAATATCTCCTTTGGGATCATTGATAAAGAGCGAGATATTCAGCCACCATGGAGATGGAGGAGGGCTAGGTCCCATGGTCGGGCGATTTAACTTTTCACAGACTGAACATATTAACTTAGGTATGTCAACTAAAATTAAAATAATATTGTATGCGTATGACTATTACTAACAAACTGTTAATATTAGAAATATAACTTGTTTAATGTGTCCGTTCTGAACCCCACATCGAAAAGTTTAATAAAAGTCTCATTAACCTCGAGATTCTTTTAGTCTTTCTTTTCCTTATAGGAGGTGAGGCTGAAAAAAAAGGATTAGTGCTTTAAAATCGTTTAATTCCTTTCTTTCACAACATTATTGCCTTTAATATACGTCCCTCCACGATTTCTACACCACTCTATACAAAAATATTTATTTTAAGTTATTATCAAATCATTAAAGTTGTTGTTTAAGATTTCCTCATTTGAATCAAAAAAACCTTAGATTTAAGATATTTTTTTAATGTATTTCGAAAACCCTTTGGAGACAGTTCTCGTATTTCAGGGAGCAATTTGTTAAAGACCTTTGAGCCATAGTAAGAAATTCCAGTTCTGGTTTTTTCCAGTCTATGGTATTCAAGGTGTATATTTTTTGCATTTCTAGTCATGATGTGGACATTATTGTGTGTTGTGTACTCTGTTAAATTATTTACTACATATTTCAATGAATACAAAATAAAGATGGCAATGTTGTATACCCAAATTTAGGTAACTTTCCTTACAGTCCTCCCTGTAGCTCTTTCCATCGACTATCCTCATACATCTCCTCTGTAATCTAAATATTCTATCACTGTTGCGTGGCCCCAACATAAAATTGCGTAGGCAATTTTACCTTAAGAACTTTTTTTGACAGTTTTTTTGATAAATTATATAGCAAGTAAGCTCCGGAACATAATTTTTTTGCTAGTTGCTCAGTGTGTTTTTCCCAAGATAACTTGGGGTCAATATTGACTCCCAAATACCTGGCATCTATAGGCTTCATAGAAAAATACATTCTTTGTGTCTTTTGTTCATTAAGGCTAAGATGGTTTTGTCCAAACCATTCTTTTGGTTTTGACTGCATCTCATCCAGGCTTCCCACAAAATCAAGTAATATTTCCAAAAAAGTTGTTAAAATCATCCGGAGTTAGATTAGTGTTCAGTTTTTTCTGTTTTGATTGATTTTGAGTTATTTACAAGGCTTGCCTTTTGAGGATTTGAGGCATGTGTAATGCTTAGATAAATCATACAGAAATTTTAATGTTTCCCTCATCTGCTTAAGTTCTTCTGTGTACCAAACGATTAGCAAGCTATCTGTTTTTTTTTGTCTTTTCTGGAAAACTGGTTTCAGTTACTCTTTGCATAATTTGAAAAACTGGTTAAATTTCTGATTTATTAAGGTATTAGTGTCAGTTTAAAAAATTGAGACCCATTTTCATTATTGGACGGTATTCTATTGTTTCTGGTTTGTTCACTTTTATGGGTAATTGAAAAGACATTGAGATATAGCTATGGTCTGACAGTCCTTTGACTTCGGTGACGTTTGTGTGAGTAATAGTCTCAATATTGGAGATAATATTATCAATACAGTTTTTCCCATTGATTGGTTTGTCTATGTGCGGAGTTAGGTTAAAAGACAAAAAATCTGTCAGTTTTATTTTCTGCTGGTTATTTGGTTTCTTAAAATAAATGTTATAATCCCCTATCACGATAATATTTGTTTGTTATTTACATGTGTTTTCGAGAAGATCACTGAGGCTATTGAGGAATATGTCAAAGTTCCCATTTACTGAAGAACGGTATAGCGTCATAACCAGTAGATTTAGAGATTTTGACTCCACTGAAGTGATTTCAATATGAAATTCAATTATGTCTAGACGTTGTTCACATTTATGACTTATTTTATCATCAATGCAAATCATTACACCACCATGTTCATGTAGGGCTCTTGAGAAGTCACTTTTAGTTTGATACCCATCAATTTGGAAAGTCGTTACCTCTTCTTCTCTTAGTCAATGCCCGCTAAAGCACATGTCATGATTTTTTACAACTGAGTCCAATTCTAATATTTTTGGGCAGATTGATTGTATGTTACAGTGAAGTATAATAGATAATGATATGAAATTTTCTGAATGTCTGGTTTTATTTACTGAAAATTGTCTATATAAGCATTTTGCCTTCTAAATTCAAAGTGCTTGACACCAACATTCTTCGGCCAAAAAGATGAATCATACAGTTCGTCCTTTTTATCATAGGGAGCACACACTCTGAAGCATTTATTTTTGTTTTGCTCTGTTGGTAGTTCAGTAACTTGGACTTCTAGTGTTTCATAGCCTGGTTTTTGTTTAATGTAATTTTGGAGAGTTTTACTGTTGACTGTTCTTCTCACCCGATAAAGGTAGAGCCAGAGTTTTTTGGGTGCTCCTGCAAAACCTACATAAACCTCCATAAAAATTAATAAAAAAAAATTGCCGGTTATCGCATAAAAAAATTCATTTTTAATAATTGTGGTTTGAAAAATTCCAGCGAAGCGGGATCGGGTCAAATAGTAATAACTACTTAACCAATGATTTTTGTGATTAGTGCACTTCTCTTTGCAATGCTGCGTTTTTAAGGTGCATAATGATTATTCAAAAACCTGAATATGTGATAAACCCTCATCTCCATATCAATCTTACAATAAAGTATACGTTTCTGTGGCACATTTTCCGAGCTTCACAAGAAATTTTGCATTGACCTGTTGCTCATGTTGAATTCATGAGCATTTTCCCACTTAGAACGAAGGCCACGGCTCAATTAAAAGGAGCGCAACTAGATGATAGCAATAGAGATAGATGCTCGTGTTTGATCTTAGCCATACCTCGTACTTCATATAAATGGAGGTTGGCTCCATTATGATTAATTGAAAAGTGCGACTACTTATTTTTCATGGATAGTACCTCCCGGTATTGTTGCCCCGCTGCATTACCTTCGACACTCAAAAACCTTTTTTTTTAACCCACTCACTCAGTCCCGGCACCTTCAAAGACTCAACCGAAAAATTGAGTTAGTTGAGTTTTCTGACCAATCGCCAGAACATGGATCCCTATATCATCACTCTTCAACCAATAGAAATCCAAACAAAACCCGGAACGAACGTATCAGAGCGTTCCTTACATAAAATCATTAAATCAACCCAAACCCCAAGATAAAATAAACCATTTGTATCCAATATCAATAAAAAAAGTTAAGGTAATTTCGTGTAATGATATTTTACCATTAAACTCTTGCCCTAAGGTTTTTTAGTTTCCAAATATTTAATTTTTCAATCTTTCCTTTAATTTTTGTGTAGTGAATTTTTTATCTTTTTTTTTATTTTATTCCAATTCTACTTGTTTCATATTTAACTAGACAACTCTATATTTATTACTAGTTTTCTTCGATTTTGAAATCATTACCTTTTGTATCACTGTAAATACTTATAGCAATTTTCATTGTTTAATTGGGCTTATCAAATGGCTTTTTGTTTCACATTGTCAAATGCTTTCGTTATATATCTGAAGCAGCAATGTACTTTTCTAATTTTTAGCATCGCTTTTTCTGTTATTGGTTTTAATGTAAATAAGGGTTTTTTTACAACAGCAATCACAATTTTGTTTTCTTCATTTACTACAATATATAAGTTTGTTTTATTTATGTTCTATCTAATTTCCAAAATTTGATAAAGAACAGTTAACCATTAATATAGAACACAATTGAAAAATAGAAGTACCAAAGGCACTAGGTGCTAAAATCTAAATTTTCTTGGTATGTGCTTAAAAAGGGTTGTAAATACCATCACCAATATCTCCACAAAGGTCTTCTAATTTCTAAGCTTTTGTGAATTAAAAAAGGTAAAATAGATACACTTAATAAAATTATTTATGTTATATTTGTGAATTTGGTATTTAATGCCTTTAGTACCTCCACTTATTTTTCATCCAGTTTATCCCTATCCATAATTATTTTATTTCAAATATCTTAAACTGTAAATTCATTAAAAAATGCTTTATAATGATACTAACCCACCCCTAACTAAACTTACTAAGATTGCATAATAACTGCGTTCCTGAGCTCTATCTGTGACTTGTGTTTTCATTTCTATTCACATCACAGGCAGAGTTCTAGCTATGCGGTTGTTCACGCCACGCCTTGGTTTCTTCTTGGGACACCTTTATATACTTTAGCGAAGAAAAACGATTACAAAATGAAACAGGTTTGTTACTTATAGCAACTGTACATAAATGCAATTATTAACAACTTGCTTAATAATTTATTATTTATATAAAGGTTTTTTTTTTTTTTTTTTTTAGGTTATAAATAGTATTTCAATCAATGTGTTCGAAAAATGGAGTTGGTAATTTTATATATTTCTATATATCAAAAATCGACTATGTTAATGGATATAATATTAATATTAGTTGATTATAAAATACTTTATAAATGTACATACTTTATAGTGCTATTGTTTTTATGCTTATTGGTTTGGACTGCTTGCCTCCTTAAGGTATGCTGAATCTCATGCGGGCTGCTGTATGGGCGTAGCACCATGGGATTCAGCTCACTTTTTGGGGTATCACATCTAACTCTTTGCTTAAGCGCTTACGGTGTCATATATAATGCTTTTAACATATTTATAATAATGCAAACCTGTGAACTAATTAAGGTATCTAACAACATTAAGGAGAAGAATATTCTAATATATTATTTCTGGTTGAGCGTATTTCTATTCTACACTATTTATATTAATAAAAATACAAATTTTAACTTTTTTTGGGATGCTGATTTAAAACTTTTATTTTTATTTAATAATGAAGGTTTTATTTCATTTTAAAATATATTGCAGGTTGTGTTTGTCGTCCTTTTAAATATCTTATTGTAACACCATTTATAGTATGACCCACTTAAGATTGCAGCACCCCTGTATAATTATTAATTGATCTTTGATTAACTTTGGTTGTATAAAAAGGTAGACTAATTATACTTATAAACATTTTATATGTCAGTAGCGTACGTTTTTAGAGGGATCGTTTTAAAAAAAAATTATTGGATTTTAAGTTACGTCATTGTAAAAAGCATCCCTTAAA